AGATACCTTCTTATTCCTCTGTGCCGCCCCCCCACGGTGAACATGACAGGTCCACCTCACACATCCCACCAGGCGGCAGGGCAAAGTATCCTGCTATTTCAGTACCACGCATGCGCAGACATGCCGCAGGTCTCTGCCTGGACCCGCTCCGTGGCAGATCTGCACAAGTGCAGGATGACAAACCAGGAAGGGAACATTCAACATGGCGCCAGAAGCCACCCGGCGCCTTGAGAACACAATGCTGGACTCTACGGACCAGTAAGTATTTTTACTGTTTGTAAAGAGAACACGAGGAAGACTTCATTATTTAATTCATAATATTACCCTTCCAAATTACACTCGGGTGCGGTCATTGGGCACAATACAGCCCTGGTACCCAACCTGCAGCCTTGGGGGGACAAAGCCTGGGGGCCCCTTAAGGCAGTAGTCTGTATTATGGTGCTTATTTGGGTCAAAACCTGTAAAAGAGCCCCCCCCCCCTTCCTCCAGGCACAGATCTTCACTGTAGGCCCTTCTCAACCGGCACTATACATTTTAAAGCCGAACTCCTGGCACAATTATCAAGTGGTCGGTGCGGCTGCCATTTTTTTCCGCTTTGTTGAATTTGATGCCGACACACTCTGGAGGTCTTCTTTTGCCTTGAATGAATCGAGGGTTACTGTTACTCCTCCTTTTTGGAGGATGGGGCCAACTCTATGGTATGTGTGCTCCACATTTATTAGTTACCGATTACACTATATAGCCAAAAGTTTGTGGACACCTGACCATGACATCTACAATGTGACCAAAACTATGTGAACCCCCCCTCCAGAGAATGGAGTTCAGGTGTCTCCAGTGAAGGTTCTGTTCCTCCTTCATCATACAAAGACATTGTAGACAATTGTCCTCTTCCAGCCTTGTGGTCACAGTTTGGTGAAGACCCTTTTCTGTCCCACCCCATGACTGTCCCCTGTGTACAAAGCCAGCTCTATACAGACACGGTGTGGTGGAGGAACTTGAGTGTCCTGCACAGAGCCCTGACCTCAACCCTACTGGACTCCATTAGGAAGAATTAGAACCCCTCTACATGATGTAGTTCACCTTTGGTATGAATTGGAACGCCGATTGTGAGCCCGGGTCTTCTCATCCAACATCAGTACCTGACCTCACATATGTGACAAATCCCTACAAACACCCTCCAAAATCTTGTGGAAGCCTTCTTTGAAGAGTGGAGCCAGCTCCATAATGACATGGTTTGACCAGTTTGGTGAAGGCCCCTTTCAGGGAAGCTAAGTATGTGCTGCTGGGAAGGAGAGATTAAAGTGGACCTGTTGCTTTGCCCCGAACGGCAAAAACTCCATCATAGTCTCTGTATAGTAATGCATTATGGCTCCAATTACTTCCTTCTAGTCCATGACATTATGCAGGGCCCTCCTCTCCTGTTATTCAGTCCCTTCAGTTACTGTCTGTAACTCCATCCATACATAAGTTGTCCTGCTTGGGTAATACATTCAGAATCATTTTAATATACTGTATGTATATATATGTAGAGTACCACACACGCCTTGCATTAAGAACCAACCATTGATGTGTGCTGCTTAAGATCATGTTCCCTGTTCCCATTTTGTGTTTCCCCGCACTCTTCTATTGTTGCAGTTGCTTTGGATTTCCACAAAGTTTTATTCCAGCGACTCCCCTCTCCAGCAGCTCCTATGACTATGGCAGACCCCTATGACTATGGCAGACCCCTATGACTATGCCAGGCTCCTGTGACTATGGCAGACACCTGTGACTATGGCAGGCTCCTATGACTATGGCAGACACCTGTGACTATGGCAGACACCTATGGCTATGGCAGACCCCTATGACTATGGCAGACCCCTGTGACTACGGCAGGCTCCTATGACTATGGCAGACACCTATGACTATGGCAGACACCTATGACTATGGCAGACACCTATGACTATGGCAGACACCTATGACTATGGCAGACACCTATGACTATGGCAGACACCTATGACTATGGCAGACACCTATGACTATGGCAGACACCTATGACTATGGCAGACACCTATGACTATGGCAGACACCTATGACTATGGCAGACACCTATGACTATGGCAGACACCTATGACTATGGCAGACACCTATGACTATGGCAGACACCTATGACTATGGCAGACACCTATGACTATGGCAGACACCTATGACTATGGCAGACACCTATGACTATGGCAGACACCTATGACTATGGCAGACACCTATGACTATGGCAGACACCTATGACTATGGCAGACACCTATGACTATGGCAGACACCTATGACTATGGCAGACACCTATGACTATGGCAGACACCTATGACTATGGCAGACACCTATGACTATGGCAGACACCTATGACTATGGCAGACACCTATGGCTATGGCAGACCCCTATGACTATGGCAGTCACAGGGCTGCAGTCTTCTCCCGCTGCAGCCTCTATCAGACTCTTCAACATTTGACACTAGCAGGATGCCCGGGTCTCCCCCAGCGTGCCGCGGCTCCACTCCACCCCCTATGTCAATATAGGATACAGTAGTCACATAGTCATCGAAGGAAGGAAACCAGGAATCAGACCCTCCTGGAAGTGTCCCATGCTGAAGAGCCTGACGGAAGCTGCATTGCTTGAAAGGACAGAAGTTGAGAGATACCTTAGAGGGGAGTATAGTACCTCCTCTGTTGCAGGGAAATTACATTCAGATTTTTTTTTTAGGCAACTGCCAGGGTCCCTTAAAAATGTACCTGCAGCCAAAAGTTTTGTATTAGGTGTTAGTAGAGTAATAGATAAAAAAAAAATCTGTGTGTGTATATATATATATATATAGCGAGAGAGAGACCCTCCGGCTGGTGTCCCACCCAGATCCTGGGAACCAGTGATGTCATCGATTGCCAGGAGCTTGGCGGGACACCGGCCAGAGCATCCCAGGTTGCTAAGAGCCATTGCGGGGAGATGAGTATGGCCCGTACACATGTCCCTATCTGGCTCTTAGTAACCAGAGCGGGCGGGGAGATGAGTATGGCCCTTACACATGTCCCCGTTTGGCTCTTAGTGACCAGAGCGGCCGGGGAGATGTATATGTGGGTGGGACATCAGTCAGTGCTTCCCAAGAGCCGGGCGGGGAGATGAGTATGGCCCGTACACATGTCCCCGTTTGGCTTTCAGTAACCAGAGCAGGCAGGGAGATGTATATGTGGGTGGGACACCAGTCAGTGCTTCCCAAGTTGCTAAGACTCGGGTGGGGAGTATATATGGCCCTTACACATGTCCCCGTCTGGCTCTTAGTAACCAGAGTGGGCAGGGAGGTGCAGAGTGGGACACCGGCCAGTGTTTCCCAAAATGCTAAGACCCGGCCGCGGAGTATATATGGCACTTACACATCTTCCCGCCCAGTTCTTAGCAACCTGGGACGTTCTGGCCGGTGTCCTGTCCAGCTCCTGGCAACCAGTGATGCCAGGGGGGGCACTTGGCTCCAAATATGCCTCTGGTTAGGGCAATATGAAAAATGTTTCTTCAGGGCCGGATTTACTCTCTCTGCTGCCCCAATGCCAGGTTCCTCAATGCTCCCCCCCCCTGTATGCAGGCTCCATACAAGTGATCTAGGCGACATCACTTGTACAAAACAAGCGGCGGCTTCCCCCGCTGTACATTTAGCCCTGTACAAAGCCGGGCTAAATGTAGAAACAACTACCCGCCCGAAACTGCATGCCCCGGGCGTCGGGAGATAAGAATTCCACTCCCCTGCTGTCCCTCTACTCCCTGCTGCCCCAAGGCCGGGCCTCGGTTGGCCTTGTGGGAAATCCGGCCCTGTGTTTCTTGCTTCCGCCTGTCTGAGAACTCAGCAGTGTTTGGGGGTATGTCACATCAAGAGAGGGGCCCCTAGGTTCCAGAGGCCCAAGTGCACCAATGGCATGTCCACTCCTCAATGCTAAGTAATGCTGAGGTCAACAGCGGGTCTTGCTGCATCCATGGTCTACAGTGGAGAATAAAATGAGATAAGTGCCACCATTACCTGCAAAGTTTTCGACTCCCCGGTCCACGTCGTTCCCTGAAAAGTGCACGGTTCTACCTAAAACATTTGACGACGGCACAAACTGAGGCAGACGCAGCGACATTAATAACCGATAGTGTATTTAATATTTAGCCAGATCAACCAGCAACATGAACGATATTTTGCCGCCGGGTTACCGAAAAAAAATTCCACAATTCACACACCCCAAAAAAATATCTTACAAACATATTTATAGGAGGGCAAAGCAAGGAAGGACTGGGGGACGGACGGGCCCGAAATATACACGTCATGGAGAAGAAAAAAAAGCCGGCAGTTGGTTCGTCTCATATGACCGTTCCCTCCTCTCTCTTTTTTTTTTATAAATAGTCTTTTGTCAAATGCCCCGACGGGGGGAGGGGATTAAGTGGCCGAGGCTGATTCAGTGCTTTACGTCATAGATTGCAGTGCTAGCCAGTCTTTCACATGAAATAGCTCATTTAGTTCATGACACATCACGGCTCTCCGTATGTCCAAGTCTACACGTGGATCGCTTGGCTCCCCCACCTCCCTCCCCCCCATCCTTCTACATACATTGGAAAGTCCTGCCCCCAAAAAAAGTGCGCGTACTCTCGTCGGAAAAACGCTTGCTGGATGGCGGCGGAATCGTGTAAGTATTTTACCGCCGCGGCGTGGGAGCCGCGCTCGTTCAGACTTGATTTTGACGCTTGAACGGTCTTCACCCAGAAGATGGAAGCGGAGAGACCGCCAACCGGACACCTTCAACCTTCGCAGCGGGTATGATAATGCAGTTTTTTCCCCGAAGCCATGACCTACGAAAAATGAAATGTTCATCCAGCCGAATGTCCCACTGGTTAAGGAGATAACACTCAGCGCATCCCCCTCGGCCTTCAGTCCCCAGCTCTGACTTGTTACTGCTATTCGTGAGCGCCATGGAAAGCCTTCAAAACCCTCTGGCAGGTTGAGGAGACCCGTATTACTGCATGGGCATGTACGGCCAGTTGAAGCTGGACCCAGAGAGGAGCATGTCCCGGATCAAAGTCTCGATGGGCGTCTTTCCTACGAGACGTACGAAGAAGAGCTGCTCTATGACCGGCGCCGAGACGATTCGCAATGACGGGAGGCGGAGCAGAAGGCGGCCGAAGCGGGTCGGCTGGTTGGGGTACTGGTTCCGGACGTACTCTTCCAGGGCGCACTGGGATTTTTCCTGAATGCTTTCAACGTGACCGATATCAGACAGTCCAACTGCATCTGCAAGACAACAAGACATGGGTTAGATAGGGATGATACAGTATCAGGTACGTCCAATATTAAACACTGCAAAGTAGGGATGCACCGATACCGATACTAGTGCCGATACCGAGTATTTGGCCGAGTACTTGCCCAAATGCTCCGATACCATTCCCCGATACCGGAACTTCCGAACTGAAGAAGAGTTCCTCTGACTGGCAGTGCCGTAGGGAAACATGGAGCCGGTTTCCCGGTCAATCAGGAAACCAAGAGGTGGATCATTACTCGCCACCCGGCTTTTGGCTGAGAAGCCGGCTCGATGCTGATTGGCTGGGAAGGCGGTTTCCTGGCCAATCACAACTGAGCCGGCCAAACAACACGGAGCCGGCTTCCCGGATCAATCAGGAAGCCAGGAGGCGGATCATTACTCGCCACCCGGCTTCCTGATTGGCCGAGAAGCCGGCTCGGTGCTTACTGGCCAGGAAGCCAGTTTCCCGGCCAATCACAATCGTGCCGGCTTCCCGGGTCAATCAGGAAGCCAGGAGGCGGATCACTACTTGCCACCCGGCTTCCTGATTGGCTGAGAAGCCGGCTCGATGCTGATTGGCTGGGAAGCCGGTTTCCCGGCCAATCACAAATTGAGCCAGCCAAACAACATGGAGCCGGCTTCCCAGGCAATCAGGAAGCAGGTGGCATATCATTATCCCCTGCCCTGCTTCCTGATTGCCCGGGAAGCCAGCTCCATGCCAGCGGAATCACCGGTATCGGTACTCGGTATCGGCGAATATCGAAAGCAAAATATAGGTACTCGATCCTGAAAAATCCCTACTGCAAAGTATTAAAAAGCTTTTTTTTTTGTAGCAGTATGAGGGAACGGAAAGGTGAAGCACCCCAATGTGCCACTAATTAAACCAGACGGGGGCCCTAATCCTTCCCCATCATACTGTTACATGTAGGACCATCGGAAGTTATTATGAAGACCTCATGTAGACCTTCTTTCCGCCCCCAGATCCTTCCCCACTCCTCTCAAGCATGGTGTCCATGGAGTTCTCCTTTAAAAGCCGTTACACTCCAGTATTGTTTTCTACTTTTCGGGGTAAATGATTAACAGCCGGTTCAATCACGGCCTCATCTAGAGGTGCCAAGTCACCTCCCATCCCACTCAAGTGGCAGCAACTACTGAACTCCCATGTCATTGTCCTGCTTGGTATGTTACAAGTCAAACACGGGCTCAGTTCACACGCTTGACACAAGGCTTCGCTGTCCTTGGCCCAAAGATTAAACCCTAAGCCCTTGAGTGGAAGGAATGCATTACACCCTGGCCGCTATCTCTGGCTCTACGGTATGGCAACATAAATAATTAACACGAGCAGGTGGAGGGCCTGCGTCATGTATGTTTATTAATTGACTCCTGCCCTTAGCTCACGTCTTAGGACAGCGCACGAGGGGTAGAGCCAATGTCGACAGACGGCTCATCGGAGTTTCCACAAAGCCGGCGTGTTGACCGAGCAAGGACTCTTAGACCGAGGACACACTTCACACTTGAAACCTTGCTCATCAGCACCCCTCCGGGAAGGTCACGCCGGCCTAATAGCCGGCGAGTAAATGACCGCCGCAAGCACGGAGGAGGTGGTCGTGGTGGTTGATGTTGGTGGGCCGAAGCCCTCAATGTCCTCTTCTGTCATTCAGGTGTTCGGGAAGACCGCCGGTCAATCTCAATGAGCCCTGTAACAGGCCGATGTACCGTGACTTTAAAACAGGCCCTGGAGGTATGGGGGGTGATAATGGCAACAGCTAGTCAATACCGCGCTTACCCGAAAATAAGACCTAGTTGGGTGGTACGGTAGCATGTACTTTACCGCGCTGTCTGCACCGCTGGCAGGGCCGTAGGAAGAGCGAGGCGAGGCTGGGAGGGGGGTGTGCAGCCAGGGCCCTGGTATTCTGTCATTTGGGGGGGTGGGGGCGGCCCGGAGAGCAACCAGAGTGCATGGCGGGGGACTGACCGCCCGCGTCACGAAATCAGCAAACACCCGTCTGCCCCGGCCTTCGCTCGGAGAGCTGCCGCCGGGCAGAAGACTACATTTCCCAGCAGGCAGCGGCGCGGCAAGGAACGTATGGCCAGTGGGTGACGGACTGAGGTGAGGGGGAAAAAAAAAATAAGACATCCCCCTGAGAATAAGACCTACTGTGTTTTTTTTGGGGAAACACGGTAGAGTAGGGAATTGTAAAAACTGTTCTTTGCTGGGTTCCTCCACTTCCTGTCCTGGAGACACAACAGGAACTAAGAGCAAATCTCTTCAATGTGGAGATAAAAGAGAACTAGGGGGTCAGTGTTTCTCCCCATAGTTCTCTTTAGGGTCACGGGAGGACATATACTAGCTTCCCCCCGTGACCCTAAGCTCAGTATATAGCAGGCTATTGCCGGCGCTATACTGAGAGCACCGCAGCCGGGGCTGATCCTGA